TAATTGAAATGTGTTTTATAGCGACAACTCTGTGGACCCAATGACTCCGAGTCTTGAGATCAATCGAGTGTTTATGCCTGACGTTTGGTCTGCTTTTGATGGCATTTACGACAAACAGCCGAAAAACATCAATGATTTAGAAAATGATAATCAATTTGAAACTGTTTTAAATAATGAAAACTTAGAAAATAATAGTGAAGTTATTGATACTACTAATGATAAAAATGAGTTAATCAGTACTGAAGACAACGGTTCTCGTGACGAACCACAGACGACACCAAATCTGGAAGACTCTTCGGCTCTGGAGGTCGAGCCCTCATCTGACTCTGCTATCAATTTGCTTCAATCCGAGACAATCGCTTCACAGCCCATGGATTCTACCGCTATTGTTGAAACCACGGCCAGTGTTGACACCACTTGTCCTCCTCCTGAAGCATCAGATCAGTTGCCTTTGGATCCAAACACTTCATCGGAAGCAGCAATTGTTGATAACTCAGCTCTCGATTCTACTCTGGAATCGCAGGACAACGACTTGTCTAACGTTGAATCAGGACTTCAGACCTCAAACACAACAAACGATATTTCATTAGACGAAACGGCGGCCCAAAAGGCCATTTCTTCGGGTGATGTTTCAGAGTTGCATCGATTGCTTGAGAGTATAAATGACTTGAAAGTCGCAGAATTGCGGGCAGAGCTCGAGAAACGGGGCGCACGTCTAAAGGGTAATCACAAAAAGGCGGATCTCATCAATAAATTGCGACAACTTATCACTCAACTGCTCGAAGACGAAGACGTTGTGAGCGATGACGTTAAGAACGATTGGTGGGCGCAGAGAATTCTCAGCAAAGAGAACGCCGCCACCGATGACCAGACTAAGGCCGAAGAGGCCACTGAACCGATACAAATTGATCCCAATGTTGACACTAATTCTTCTGTCGTTTGTGAAGAGAATAACACAAACGAAACAAATGATGTCATAATGATTGAGGACGAGAAGGAAGGCGTTCAGAATGAGGAACAAATGGTCATTGATTTAGTCGACGATAAGACCAATGATTCCAAACCAAATGATGTGACCATTGAGGACACACCAAACGGGTCACAAAGTAACGACATTGAAATTGTCGAAGAAAAAAGCACACAAAATGGTTTAA